CTGTGTTCTTTGTAACTTGTTCTGAGATTTGCCTCCTAAGTACCTTCTTGATGCCTTCCAGTGTTTATTCTGGCCTCCTACTTGCAAGTTGAAAATACTTCAGGTAGAGATGTTCTCTCCTGTTTGCCACGATGATCATCTGTTATTTTACTTAAGAGTCAGGGTCTCGGCTCGGCGCCTATAGCTCAACTGGCTAAGGCACCAGCCACGTACACCTAAGGTGGCGGGTTCGAATCCCGAGCCTGGACCCGCCAAACAACAATGACGGCTGCAACCAAAAAATAGCCAGGCGTTGTGGCGGGCGCCTGTGGTCCCAGCTACTTGGGAGGCGGAGGCAGGAGACTCGCTTGAGCCCAGGAGTTGGAGGTTGCTGTGAGCTGTAATGCCACGGCACTCTACCCAGGGAGACAGCTTGAGGCTCTGTCTCAAAAAAAAAAAAAAAAAAAAAGAGTCAGGGTCTCACTATGTTGCCTAGGCTGGAGTGCAGTGGCTCTTCACAGACATAGTCATAGTGCACTACAGCCTTGAACTCTTGGGCTCAAGCCAGCCTCCTGCCTCTACCTCCAGAATAGATGAGACTGCAGGCATGGGCTAAGATCATCTGTTTTTAAGTCTCCCTTTGTTTATTTTTGTTGTTATTGTTGCTTGTTGTCATTGTTGATTTTAGCTGGCCCAGGCAGGTTCGAACCTGTCAGCCTAGGGTGTTATGTGGCTGGCACCCTACCCACTGAACTACGGGGTGCTGCCTTGCCTTTGTTTCTTTTTCGTGACTATTTTAACTTACAATGTGAAGCCTCCATTTCCCCCATCTCTGAAATTCTTTTATTTTTCTTTCTCAAAGACATCCTGCTATCTCTTTCAAACAACTTATGACTTTGATAATTTAATTCAATAGAATTCAATCCTTGCTTATTTCCATGTTTGTCCTAAGTGCTGAGCTAAGAGGAGGGGATGCCATGATAAATAACTGATTTAAAGTTACATGATAAGGAAGTGCAGTAGAAGAAAAGGTTAAATCAGGACTGGAAGAAGCGAGAGAAATGGAAGTATCTTTTGAGGTACTTGAAGCATGGGCAGAAATTCCTCAAAAGTAGGGTAGAAATGGCAGGCCCTTGACCACATATCCAGTATTGTAAGAGAGAACCTGGAATGGAGGACTGGCATCCTGGGTGCCTGCAGTGAAGCACAGTTTTGCTTCTGTTGTTGTTCTGCTTCCAGTGCTGGTTTGGAAGCATGAATTGATTTCATTGAGGTTGATAATGTTAAGGAACAACTTGAATATAATGGGAATTTTTAGTCGGCTGTGCAGATTCCTCTTTTTTCTTTTTCTTTTTTTCTTTTCTTTTTTTTGTTTTTTGAGACAAGAATCTCACTTTGTCACCCATGGTAGAGTGCTGTGGTGTCATAGCTTATAGCAGCCTCAAACTCCTGGGCTCAAGTGATCCTTTTGCCTTAGCCTCCCAAGTACCTGGGACAACAGGCACCCGCCACAACGCTCAGCTATTTTTAGAGACAAGGCTCACTCTTGACTCAGGCTGGTCTCAAACCTATGAGCTCAAGCAATCCACCTGCCTCAGCCTCCCAGAGTGCTGGGATTACAGGCGTGAGCTACTGAGCCCAGCCTGCTGTGCAGTTTCATCTGTGAGACATACTAGGTAAACCCAGACGTGAACCAAGCCATCCACCAGCTAGCTCAGTTGGCTTCACATGTGCGCCCATCCGTACACATCTGATGCCACTTCTCAACCCTGCCCATTTCCACAAGTAAGCTTTAGGGCCTCCCTTCACAAGGTGAGTACCACAGTCTGTCAGTTGTGTTTCTTAACCATTTAACACATTGAGCACTGTGCTGCTGCCATTTTCACTGGATTATTTTGTGTGTGCCACTGACAAAGGTTTTGAGTGCTGTGCCCCAAATTTCCATTTTTCCCTCATAAACCCTGTGGAGTTTTGCACTGCAAGATGATTTTTTTAAGGAGCACATATGAACACAATGACTGGAGAAAGTGGAGGAGTGAGTTGGAAAATTAGGTTGGCTGCATACCATGAATACTTTAGGCCATGCTCTGAAGGCAGTGATTGTGCTCATTTGGGAGCACTTCCTGGGATTTTGGCTCTTTGGGGGCTGATGATTTATATTAATATTTATTTATTTAGAGATTGAGTCTAGAGCCTCAGCATAGCTCACAACAACCTCAAATTTCTGGCCTCAAGTGATCCTCTTATTTCAGCTTCCTTGGTAGCTGGGACTACAAGTGCCCACCACAACGCCCAGCTACTTTTTCTATTTCTATTTTATTTATTTATTTATTTGAGACAGAGTCAACTTCAGTAGAGTGCTGTAGCACTGATACTGGAATTTTGATACTGGATTTTCAGACTCTTGGTCTCGACGATTTGATGAATGATTCGACGGACTGCAGGATCAACAGTAAGTTAGGTGTTATTCACCAGGTATTACAGCTCTCACAAAGAGCCAAACCTCCTTGCAGAGCAGGATAAGATAGGTTTTGTACAAGTGTTACAGCTCTTGGTCTTCTCCTCTCTCTCCGTCAGAGGTCTCTGCTCAGGGGCTTGTATAGGGGCACTTGTCCAATGAGCTTTTGGGTCCTGAAAACAGACCAGTCAGGAGCAGGTTTTGAAAATGGACCAATCAGGGATGCACTGGAAGAAGAGGACGTGCCAGTGTCTTCTCCCTATTGTGTCTGGTGCCTCCAGTTGGGGAGCAGAGCTGCCGCCCCTCCTCACCCCCCGCCCCCTTAGCTCCAGCCTGCTGGTTCCTCTGCTGGCTGCCGCCACCAGCACTGCCAAGACGAGGTGGCAGGTCCTCCAGCCCTGCTCAGTTGAGCTGGCTGGGGCGCCACCTGTCCAGTATCAGCATCACAGCTCACAGCAACCTCAAACTCTTGGAATTAAGTGATTCTTTTGCCTCAGCTTCCCAAGTACCTGGGATTACAGACACCCGCCATAATGCCCAGCTATTTTTTTGTTGCAGTTGTCATTGTTGTTTAGCAGGCCAGGCTGGGTTCAAACCCTCCAGCCCTGGTGTGTGTGGCTGGCGCCCTAACCACTGAGCTATGGGCGCTGAGCCAACCTTTTCTGTTTTTAGTAGAGGTGAGGTCTTGCTCTTGCTCAGGCTGGTCTTGAACTCCTGAACTGAAGGGATCCTCCTGCCTTCAGCTCTTGCCTGGACCTCCCAGAGTCCTGGGGTATGGGCATGAGCCGTTGTGCCCAGCCTTTACCCCACGTTTCTTTTTTTTTTT